GGGTCGAGCTCGAGTTGAGCTCGAGCTCTTGTATTTTTTATCAAGTCGAGCTCGAGCCTCATAAATCGAGCTCGACGAGCTCGAACTCAAGCAGCAAAAAAAAAAAAAAAATCAATCCTGCTCGATAAGGCCAATGCTCGACTCGGCTTGGCTCGTTTGCAGCTCTACATAAGCACATAATTTTATGTGCATAAAGAAGTCTACAGAAACGTAGACCTGCTCTGATACCACACTGTAACGCCCCGTTGATTTTTAAAGAAAATTATGGACTTCTCAAAAAAAACAAAATTCGAGGTTAAATATTTGAAATTCATTTTTCGACCTCAACACATATAATGACGTTATTCATTCATTTCATAAAACAGTTCAAGTCGTATCTGAACTGACAGGGATTCTTTACCCAAATTTGGCATGGGATATCATTATACAACATCACACTCATTAAGTTATATAAAATCATCATATACATATATATATATATATATATAATAATAATAATAATAATCACAGATATAAAATCAAACCAAGTCATGAGGTTCCAATTCATAATAATAAACCACACTCACCAGTTTTCAAAACAATTCATCAAGCACAAAATGTATCATCACAATCATCAACATCTCAAAACATCAATATTCAAATATACTAATAAGTTTCATCAAATTAGTTCACCAATATAAGTTCATATAAAGCGGAATAAATAAATAAGGTCAATGTCAATAACATGACCGACCACCACTCGACATCGCTCGTCATGTCTGCCACCTACCCAACCTGAAAGGGGAGGGGGGCATGGAAGTGAGCACTACCGCTTGCTCACTACTATGTACATAAATCACATATAAAGACAGATAGGCATGGTCGCAATATGAACACTAATCAATCATAATAACCATCTCCTAATCATCATAATACTCATGTGCACATCTTTTACAGCTACTAATGGTCTTATAACACCCAAATAATATGAGTACATGTCGATGGCCTTACATCGCTCAATGACATGGCCTTTGATTAGGTCTTAGGGAGACTGCCTCTCATTAGGCACCGTACTACATCGACGGGATAACCGTTCGACGGCCGAAACAGCACACATCGAAGGTTGCATGGTTCACATGCATACATTGATCACACCATCCAGCAAATATAAACAATTTATGGCATAGGAATTTAGAATAATCCACCTGAACACTTAAGCAGGAAAATGCTCACACAGCAGTGTATGTTGAGAGCTCGGCTCGTCAGACACCCAAATTTTATTAAATAGCCTTATAAATATACTACCTTGACACTTAGAATTATTCACGAGAATTCATACTTAGTTGAACATCATAGACTAAGTAGTTCGTTAATTTGGAACACTTGTATTTGACGATTAGACTTGAAATAATCATTTTAAAACGTTAAAAATAGACTCGACACTAAAAACAAGTTTAAAGGATCAAAGATAGGTCAAATGCTCGGGAAAAATGAAACTGCGTACAAACTGACCGACACGGGTGCTGTCGGGCGCGGGCCGGGGCTGTTGGGCACCACAGGCGCGCTGGGGCGTAGGACAGTGGGCGCTAGGGAGCCTGGAGGAGCTGGCTGGTGATTGCTAGGCACCGGTGTGGGCAATGACAAAGGCCCGGTAAGAAATAATAAACCAAGGCTTCTGGAGTTTGGCTCGGGTGATTACTTGAAACTTTTACTCCATAAAAGTGAGTCAAAAAGAGACCAGTACACCAAAGATTGACCCTTAAATCAATTCCTAACAAGTTAAACCAATTTTGCAAAAATGAGGACAAAACAAATGGTTTCTTGTTCAATATGCTACAAGACGAATTTTCCTTTGAATTTGTAACAACATGATGAACATCATGAAAGACGTTAAATCCCAGAAATTCATCCAATTTTAGCAAACCTATGATTTTATACCGATTCTTAAAGAAACGGCCCACAACAACAAGTAATCAGTTAACATAGCTATCATTCGAAATTTGATCTGAAAATTTTACACAACAGGTTTTATCATCAAGGGTTCAACCCTCAAACTTTTACTCAAAAAGGCCAAGTATATGATTTTTAACAAGTTTTCCAAGATTCAACAGCATGATCGATTTAAAAAATTCATAAACACCTCAATACTCAACAAAATCGTCGATGACTTTCATCATTAAGCCAAGGACACACCAAAGTTCTAGAATCACAAGATTTCCACAAAAACAAACCGAGATTCAATGGTTTCTTCATTAAATCGTCCGAATCTCAAATAATTTCACATAATTTCAACAATTAATCACCAATACACATGCAATAAACTCGAAGATCATTACAAAACCTTATATATCATAGGTATAGCCATCCATTACCTCATTCTGAAGAATAGTTCACGAAAATATGATGCCAGGGTTGGGTCGAGCACGAGGACGGTGTCTCAGCGGCTTCACGCGGCTCGCCGCGAGGTGCGGCGATCTTCAGTGTCTGAGGGCGTGAACAGGGGCCCACTGGTCGTGGTTTTGATCGAGGAGGGCTGGGATGATCAAAGATTGATCGTGTGCAGTGGACAAGGGTCGCCACTAGTCACCTGCGGGGGATCGCGCGCGCTCGTGGGGAGTGGAGGGCGCCGACGTGTGGTGGTCAGCGGTAGTGATGGGCTCGGCGATGGTGGTGATCAGATTTTTGGGGAAGTTTGTGTGTTCTTCTTTGATTTTGATCGAAGGGAGAAGAGAGGAGAGTAGGGAGAAGCGATGTGCAAAAAGAAGGAGAGAAAAATAACTGGGAGGAAAAGAAAAGCTCCATATATATACTTCAAGGCAAGAGAGCTAGGTTTAATACTTGTCGGATAAGGCACAAGAGAGGGACTGGGCACGCGACTAAGGATGAAGGGCACGGGTCAGCCCCTTCCGCTCAAATGCCTTAGGAAAAATTCGACTTAAAAGGGAAAATGAGTTCACAATTCAAAGACGGGGACGCTCAGCTAGGGCTCGCGGGCCGGGGGCCGAGTCTCTTGCGGCGTAAGGGCGAACCCAGTTCGATCGCTCGAGAAAATATTTAAAATGGATAGAATTCGGTTTATGCGATTAAACCGAAAGCGACGAACGAAGACATTTTAAAAAATAAAACGAGCTAGTACTTAACATATAGTTTAAGTACCAATCATAGACGACATCACCACCATTAATAATAAAACATAATCAATAAATAAATATCGTGAAATGGAATAATTCGATTAATCCTATAAATCAAACGGGGCGCTACACACCGTGTCACCTGCTTCAACCTTAACATTGTTGGATGGAGAAAGAATCTCGGTTATTTGAGAAGTCGGTTGTCTCCATAGGAGTAAAGTCGATTTTCCTTCTGGTCTGAGCCGAGATGCCATAAGTTAATGCTTGATATGGATTTTGTACCCTCAAGTACGGTTTGATCAGGTCAGTTGTCAACAACAACCTTTGCTAAACGATTATTCGGGGA